GTCGCATTCCAGTCCCACTCCGTCGTAGCACGATATTGTCCGCTTTGGGCACCGGCCACGCCCTCACGGTTTTGTTTATGGGAACTCACGCGAGAACTTCCTAGTGGGTCACCCATCCTAGGATTGCTCTCGCCCGAACTCGCTTAACTTCGGAGTTCCGATGGAATCCGAAGCCAATGAGTCCCTGAAAAACCTCGTGCTATATGGAGGTGGGCATATACATCTAAGGCACATCACCCCCCTCCGTCGGGCAATATGGGATGTTACAATCCTCCCCTGACGTCCTCGGCACACTCACACCACACGGTAGAGTGGCTATGATATCAAATTGTCACATCCTAATCCGGCTCCACCATAGCACGATATTGATCGCTTTGGACCCTGGCCACATCCTCACAATTTTGTTTCTAGGAACTCACGCGAGAACTTCCTAGTGGGTCACGCATCCTAGAATTGCTCTCACCCGAACTCACTTAACTTCGGAGTTCCGATGGAATCCGAAGCCAATGAGTCCCCAAAAGGCCTCATGCCATATAGAGGTGGGCATGTACATATAAGGCACATCATCCCCCCTCCGTTGGGCGATGTAGGATGTTACATTTAGTCTGCCTAACATTACCCTAAAAAGAAATCACCTCAAGTGAACTTGCTTTTTTTATTTACATGAAACGATGTAGCGAGCTTTAGTTTTGTTTTTGCGGTTGTCTTATGCCTAACTCATTATTTATTCAATATATTGCAACTAATTCACATTGCTGGGAAAATTGCTAGCAGCTCCTTAGAGCATCTCAGAATGAGATGTTAAATTTAAACATAAAATTTAAATTTGAAAGCCTATAAGGCAGTTTGATGTTTTTTAGAATTTTGTTCTCCACCTGATCTGTCAAATTGAATTATTATTTATTACTTCATTTCTTTGTAATTGTGATAAATATGTTTATAGCAACAACAATAATAAATAGCTTTATCATGCTAATCACTATTCATGCTAAGATAACTCCTTATGTCTGGGGTTTGTCAAGTGAATTATGGTGTGGTTGGTTACGGAAGTTCATTGAACCTATGTGGAGTCAAGACTTTGGAAGACTTTGGGTTGCTTGGGAGCCTAAAAAACAAGCCTATAACCATTGTATTCCACGTGAGTAAGTTTGAAAGAGAACCAGACTAATTCCCTCATTTCCCTAGCTAGCTAACCAACTTAGTTAGGGAGAAACCAAGCCTTGACCCTTAAAGTCACGTGAAAGCTTGGCTAGACATGCATTTAATGAAGAGAGAAGCAGACTTTCCCTTCCTAGCTCACACAGAAAACCATCGCATGAAAGCCAGGTGACGCATTAGCAAAAGTAACGCTTGTGGAAAACTGACATGGGAAAATAGTGCCTCGAGAAGAGGTGCAGCGCAGTCTTCACATGAATGGCTGCATTTAGTTATCTTACACCAAAAAGGAGTGTTGCAGTTAGGTCAGGAAAAAGGGGAAGGAAGACCAAGCCACAATTAAAGATTCCTTAGGAACCCTATAGATTAGTTATTCACCTACAAAAAAGGGAGTTAGAAGCCATTAAAAAGGATCCAAGAATTCTGCCGATATGAATGAAATTTTGGCAAAGATATTAGTGGCGTTATTGGCACTTTCTATAAAAAGTCATGCACTCCAAATATATAGAAATATAAAAAGAAAAAGATACTTGATAGAAGTGCAAAGCCAACAACAGATCCCAAAATAGAATGCTATACATTATGGGAATTGTTATTGGCACCCAAAAAAACTCATTTTGCACTCCGAACTTTCTATAATTAGAAAGAAAATACACTTGTGAAGAGTGTAGAATGAGATTTGTGGAGTGCTAATAACAGTTCTCTAAATTATTTGTTAAAGCAAATACTATAAATGGATGCGAATAGAGTCCAAATTTAAATATATTAGAAAGAGCGCTTTCAATGGAAAGGACCATAGTCTGAGCTGCTTTTGCTTTATGTTGCCAAAGACCCACGATTTTGAGGAGGAAAAAAAAAAAAAAAAAAAACAGATTCTTTTACTTTTCAAACCTAATTTTAGCCTCAGCTTTCTTTATAATATGCTTTGAAAAAAAATCACCTCGACTAGACTTGCAATAAAGGAAATAGCTTTACTTTTTTTTTTTTGGTACAACGATACTTAAAGATAGTAAAGTGAAAATGAACCTTTTTATAAGATTCCTTAAAAAAAAGGTAATGCTAAGGAGACTAAACTTGTATACAAAATTTGCAAACCAAATGATGTGCCATAAAAAAGAACGAGCACGTTTATTAACGTTTGACTAATAATCTAATCATCAACTTTCATGTCATTTAATTTACAAAATTTTATCTATAAATTTAGTTTCCTAGCACTACCCCCAAAAAGAAATCACCTCAAGTGGACATGTTTTTTTTTTTTTTTTTTTTTTTTTTTTTAAATACATGAAACGATAGAGCTAACTTTACTTTTGTTTGTGCGGTTGTTTAATGCCTAACTCATTATTTAATTAATATATTGCAACTCATTCACATAGCTAGGAAAATTGCTAGCAGCTCCTTAGAGCATCTCCGAATGAGATGTTAAATTTAAACATAAAATTTAAATTTGAAAGCCTATCACTTTGATCTTTTTTAGAATTTTGTTCTCCACCGGATATGTCAAATTAAACTATTATTTATTACATCATTTTGTTTATAATTGTAATAAATATATTTAGAACAATAGTAAAAATGATAAAATATATTTATTAATCAATTGAAAATGAATTTGAAGTTGCTGTCAAATTTGACAGTAACCATCTTTGATTCCAATCCACGTCATACCACATAAGAATTGACATTTCGGTTGAAAAACACTAATTATCTTTTTATTACTGTTATTGTTGATATAAACATTTTGATATCTCTTTTAGAAATGTTCCTAGTTCATGTATAAGAGAAGCAAAGGCAACCACTCAAAACACAAGTGAAAGCACAAGTTCAAACAAAAGAAAGCCTTCTCAGTTTTAAATTTTAATTCATCAAACCTCTTCTCTGTCCAAGAATTTCCAAGCCCTAGACTAAAAGTCTTTTGATCCCATATCATTCTGAATCTCAGTTAAAGAACAATCCGATCATCACAAACCAAAAACAAGCGTGGACTGTGAGAAGCAGGCCTATGTATTGTTTGGAGTTGAACCATATTGTTAATGAATTAAATAATTAGTTATTGGAGAGAGGGAAATTTTCAGGATTAAACTTGCACTAGAATGCATAAGCATTATTGTTGTTTCATACTACGGTAAAACAATATTTGCCGATATGAGTTAGGTTTTTGTAAAAAATATTGGTCATGTTATTGACACCGTCTAAAAAGTATCATGCACTCCAAATATGTACAAATATAAAAAGAAAAAGATACTTGATATAAATGAATGCGAATGACTAGACAAAATATATTAGAAAATAGTGCTTTGAATGGAAGTGACTATGGTTTCAGCTACTTTTTCTTTCCGTTACCAATGCCGCGATGTTGAGGGAAAAAAAAAACAATTTTTTTCTCTTTTCCAAACCCAATTTTAATTTTAGCTTTTTTATAGAGTGATTCTCACTTTATTATCCTCAAATATTGTAAAATTTCAATTTTCATAAGTAAATTTTGTTTTGTCCCACTTTCATACTTAAAATGTAAATTTTATGACCTTTCCGTATTTCTGTTAGTCTTTCCATCAAGAGCTCATGACATTACTTATTAACAGGATGATGACTGTACATCCATGTGCTACTGCGGCTCCATCTGGTGGGTAAATCCAACAAACAGCCCAATAAGAAACCCTAACCTAAACCCTTCTTCCTTCACAATCCAAATCCTCAATTCCAATCCAAATATTCTCGTCCTGAAGTTGAAGCCTTTGAGTCGGCTCTGGTGCTGGCACTTGCCAAACTGATATACAACCCAAGTGCACTCTGCGAGGAAGAAAACGAAAGGAAGAAGACGAAAGGAAAATCGAAATACAACCTAGGTGGGAAAATGGGTTCAAAGGCGAAATAAAAAAAAATGGGTCAGTTTCATCTCCTTCAAATTCCTCCAATTCCTCTTCGGAAAGCGCAATTTGCTCGTCATCCAGATATAACCTAGATGAGAAGCAGCGTTCTAAGCCCAAATCGAAATCTCGAACGTTTCATTATCCGCAGGGTTCTTCTAATTCGTTGATGAACTCCCCTCGTCACCAAGAAAATTGTGGAGGAAGCTGAAGAAGGCGATGAAGGAGGAAGAGAAGATTTGCAGAAAGTCTGAGAAAATTGTCAAGAGGGCTAAGCAGGCATCGGCTAGGATGAGTGCGGCTATCGTTGAAGACGAACGTAGTAATGATTAGCGATAAAATTGGAGTTTCATCTTTAAACAATTAACAATAAGAGAAGCAGCTCAAGATTATAAACTCTTTGCTAGACTTGTTTCTTCCCAATGTGGAACAACTTTTTCACACACCATCAACTTACATGTTTTCCTCAGCCAATTTTCAAGTCTACATGTGGATAACAAGTGGGTGATGCATGAGCAACGTGTGCCCCCTTTAGAGCTTTTACATAAGGGACAATCTTCTCTAATACAATGATGAAATTGGACATCATAAAACTAATTGGCAACATAAACAGTAGCCCAAGATCTATAAGCCTTACCTAAACTTGTCTCTCACCAACGTGGGACAAACTCTCCACACATGATAAAACCTAAACATTTAGAATGAACTTTTATCTGGGAGCAAGTTTGTAGAGAGGTTGAGAAAATTGTTCGAGAATTGAGACCTGTAGCAGGAATTGGGGGAGTTGAGGAGCTGAAGCATTGTTGGACTTGACATTAATGTTTTAATTATATCATATTTTCATGTGGGGGTTTCTGTGCCATATGATTGCACAATTATAGTCCATATGAGCGTCACGTCACGCTTTAACCAAAGTGTTGACGGAAAAATTAATGAAAATTTGAGAGGGTCACAAAAGCAAACTTTAGGTGTGAAAAAAAATAAAAAATAAAAAAACTTTAGATATGAAAGTTGAAATTTCACATTACTTAAAGATGGTAAATTGAAAATTACCCTTTTCATAGGATTCCTTTTAAAAAATCACCTTAATTGGACTTGCTTTTTTGCTTTTTCTTTTGTTTTTGTGTTTTTTTTTTTTGGTTTTTTAATAACAATAAACAATAAAGTAAGTAGACTTGCTTTGGCAATAAAGGAAAGGGGAAATAGCTTTATCATTTTCATAGGATTCCTTTAAATAAAATTACCTCTACTGGACTCGCTTTTTTTTTTTTTTTTTCACAAGAAACGATAGGTTAAGTAGACTTGCCTTGGCAATAAAGAAAAGGGGAAATAGCTTTCCTTTTGTTTGGAAGTGGCTTTATGTCAAACTCGTTAGTTAATCAATATATTGCAACTCATTAACATTGCAAGTGGAAAATTGCTAGCAGCTCCTTAGTTCCCTATATAAGCAGCAGAGGCAGCTACTCGGAACACAAGTTCAAAGAAAACAAAGCCATCTCACTTTTTTTAATTCATCAATCTCAACTAAGAACAATCCGATCACCACAAAGGTTAGAAGTTAAATAGCACAAGTATTTATCACACACACACCGTATATTAGCAGGAATAGTGGTATGCTCACAATCTCCAAATTCATGTTCATGTAAATGCCCAGCTGCTTACACGCAGGGCCATGGTGAATTTATGGTGTCAAACAAATTCACTTTTCTTCTATCCCTTGTGATTAATCTGTGTTTGTTTCTCTCTAATTTTTTTCCTTTTTTTTTTCTTTTAGTTTCTTGTTATCTTTGCACCATTTTGAGTTGTTCATGGGTGTTCATTTTTCCGTAGGGTTTTGCTGAAGATTTGTACATAGTATTTCTTTTTTCGAGCTGTTAGGCTATCAAATAACAAAATGTATAACAAAGAGTATTTCAAAGTGCCTCCAGAAATTAAATAGGTCTTACCGTTTGTACATGCTTTCAGGTTGCAAAATGGAATCGAGACAAAGTTCGGAGAGCTCAAGGCAGGGAAATAAGAAGAAGTCTTTGTACAACTTAGGTGCAATTGCTGCTGGCGCTGCTGCAGGAATTGGTCTACTGGCTTGGGGTTTATCTGCACTTGCTTCATCAGCTGGTGAGGAAAATAAGAAAATGATGAAAGCTCCTGGAAAAGAGGAAATCATAGAGAGGGAAGAGTTTGAGCGTGATCCTAAAGGCTATTTCAGAGACTTGCGCAATAACTAGGAACTTCTCTTGAACCGTTGAACATATGAGATTATGCCTTTACATTTTTTTAATCTATCTTTTGTTATTAAACTATCCTAGTGGGAACTTGCATCTTGTTGTCTTGTAGATGGGGATTACTGTTGTTTCATATGGTGATTAGGGATTTTGCTTTCTATTTTAGTTTCTGATGTTTATCATCGGTTTAATGGTAGTGAAGTTCAAAACGTGCTGAACTTTGGATGCTAAATAAGTATCCAACCATTCGGTGCAACCAAAAATTTGACCTACTTACGGTAATAGGATCTCAGTGATGCCGCTGTCAAATTGGGGATCACATAAGAAGATTTAATTTCTCTGTCTCTCGTACAAGTGAATTGGATGAATGAAATAGGTTTGAATGCTAAGCTATTTAGACCATCTCTAATCCCTGGATTAAAATTTAATTTTTTTAATCTAGAAAATTTAGGTTTTAACATAGAAACAATTTTTCTGATCCAACCCTTATAACTTAAAATTTTAGCCCCAAATTATTAAAGAATGAATTTAGGCTAATTAAAAAAATATTATGTAGATTGTCCTAAATTAATTTTATGAACATTTTAACCTAAAAATATTTAAATTCCAATAACTATTGAAAATTACTAAACCGACACAAGAAACACTATGGAAGAATATGAAACACATGATAGAGATGTATAAACACAAAACACATGAAACCATGATTAATAGAAACAATAATTAATAAGCCAACTTAATACAAAGGATAATTAATAAACTACATAGACTTAATACAAAAGATAATTAATAAATTGCATAAACTTAATACAAACGATAATCAATAAACTACAGAATGATAATTAATGATAATATTCACCACCTTGACATGGTGGTGGATTTTCTGGTGGACTTGGTGGTGGATGTGGGATATAGCCTTGAGGTGAATCATCATCTTGAAATATATTCCTTGTGGCATGCCTTCACAAAATTTCCTTTTGCTTATCACGTAAGAACTTCTTCCTATCTTGAGTGTATTTGTTGAGGTTCTCCCTCAACAAATCACATTCAAACCTTCCATGCTCCCTTTCCCCTTCCTTCATAAAGGCCAAGCGCATTCGGGCCGCTTCTTCCTCCCGAGAGCTATGGCTTTCGGCCAATTTTGCAAATCCGGTAGAAATGGTTGTGCTAACCGGATCTTGCATCTTCCCCTTTCTCTTTGCTTCCTTTTGCTTATCTTTTCCCGGAAGCCTTACAAAAGAAGAAGTTGGGGTCACCAAATCAACACACTCGTCTGACATCATTCGTGTTTGCGGCTTCACTATCAAATAATTTTTCCACATTGTTGGTTTGCATCGGTTCCCCACCTCGGACAATCACTACTACAAAAAACACTTTGTGAGACGAAATAAGTTTGTTGTGCAAAGTACAATTTTGTCACACAAAACCTTGCATGATGAAATTTTGGTCGCGCATGGTTCGTTGCGCAAAGCTCATGAACATAGGGTCTGCGCGACGAAATATTTTGTCGCTTAAGGTTTTTGACTTTTTGTTTTATTATTTCTCTTATATTAATTTAATTATATTAATTGTTTGCTCGATGAAATATTTGGTAGAGCAAATTTTTCGAATTTTTACTTTTTAAATTTAATTTAATTGTATAATTTTATTTTTTTAATTACTTTATTTTAAATTGACATATTCAAAATAAAATTACTTATGAAAAATAGTGATAAAATTATCCAATATATATATAATATATTCAAAATGTACACGTAAATTAACAATGTACAATAATAAAATCCTAATACAAGTCTATTGTCGTGGTAGTGGCGGGGGTTATGGTTCGATAGCGTCCTAATCCTCAACTTTAACCGTCAAAGTCTCGATGATTTCCTCCAAAAAATAAAATAAAATAAAACATAGTCAAATAACCAAAAAATTGGCATAATCTCCGCTAAAATTGGTATATGACAAATCCGACCCCAAACTCCACCTCTCACCCTATACTCGACCCTAAACCCCACACCAAACTCAAAATTAACTCCAAAAACACATTAATGCAAAAAAAAAAAAAAAAAATTGGGGATAATATACCTTTTGGCAAGATTGAGAGTGATTGAGAATGAGTGGGAGGAGTAAGTGTGAAAGAATTAGAGGAGATAGTGAGAGAGAGATGAGAGAGTGAGTGAGAGTGAGAGATAATGAAGAGAAAGAGAGGAGAGATTAAGTGAGAGGAGTGAGTGAGAGAGAGAGGGTCAGATTTGGGAAAGGGAAAAGGGAAAAGAAATGAGAGGTAAGAGAACATAAAAAGACATTGAGAAAATTGTGGAGGAGTTATTTAGCTTTTAAAAACCATATCACTTTGCGCAACGAAATATTGGTCGCACAAAAAGTCTTCAAAAAAATTTTAAAAAAAAATCCCACGTCCCATTTTTGTCACCCGCACAAATTTCCCGAGTCCTATTTTTGGCTTTTGCCCAAATTTAAGGATTTTGCCCGACGAAATATTGGTTTGCCATGCAAAATTTATAAAAATAATTTTATAAATAATAAAAAAGAAAATAATTTTATTTTACAATTTAAAATATAAATAAATTAAAATAAATAAGGTTTATGTGACCAAATGTGTATTTGTCGTGCAAAGAAAATAATAATAAATAAAGAAATAATTTAGTTTAATAGTCTAAAATATAAAAATAAATAAATAAATAAGTAGATAAGGTTTAGGCGACGAAACATTGATAATCGTCGAGCAAAGTTTAAAAAAAAAATAATAAAAACTTATGAAAATAACTATATTTTAAAATTTATTGGATTACGTCGCGCAAAGATTTAAAAAAATAATTTTTTATCTTATTTATTTTTGTAAAGACTTTGTGTGACGAAGTTTAAAGTTTTGTCACACAAAGTGACTTTGCGGGACGATATGTGTTTCGTCGTGCAAAATTTTATTGTGCAAGACTTTGCGCGACGATGTGTATTTCGTTGGGCAAGGGGTTTTTTTACTAGTGAATCCTTGAGGGCGTCCCAAGCATGATGCAACTTAAAAGTTTGATTTTTGGCGTAGTTCTTGTCTTATAAATTGCCATTGCTTTGTCACCTTATGCAAGGAATGCATAAATACAATTAGTTGCAAAATAAGATTATGTACATGACAAATAAAATATCAACAAATAAACTCACCACTTCTATAACACTCCTTCCTCTAGCCATGTCAACCGCAGCTCTCTCTAAGCTTCCCTTCCAAAGTGTACAGTTTGTTGATAACCTTCCACCAATTGTAAACACTACCAACATCCCTTCGGCCGGCATTGGAGTTTTCCTTGAACTTATCAACAATTTTAGCCCACAAAACCTTTTTATTTTAATTCGTGCCAACAACTTCATCTTCGCTAATTGAAACCCATGCCAAGCACAAAGCAACATCTTCCTCAAATGACCAATTACGACCTCTAATATGATCTTTTGCCATCTTAAAAATTTTGGAAATGGGAAGAAATGGTTTTGGAAGATGGTAGAAAAAAATTGGAAGAATTGTCGGAGAAAAATGAGTATTGTATAGATGTTTCAACAAATACATAGGTATTTATAGAGTTTTTGTATGAATTTTGAGTTAAATAATTTTTTTAATTATTTTAGCCGTTGGATTTAAATTTGGGCCCCTAGATTTTTTTGGGTAAATTACACAAAGCTACCTCAACTATAGGTCGAATTACAATCTCATATCTCATGTTTTAAACATTGCAATGTCATACCTTAACTTATGAATTCGTTGCAATGTTAGACCTTTGTTAATTTTTCTATCAATTTGACTGTTAAATGCTGACGTGGCACGAACAGACCCAACTGAAATAAAAATAATAATAAATTATTAATTTTTATTTAACCTTTAAAATAAATTAATTTAACCATTAAAATTAATTTTGAAAAAAAAAACTATGGAGGACGACACAAACAGCACACCTCCTCTTTGAGGAAGACCAATTTTTCCATCCCTCCCCACTGCATCTTGCGCCATGGCGCCACCCTCTCCTTAATCAAACAACACATGTTCCACAGTATCGTCTCCGCGTGCTCCATCGCCGTACTTGACACTTTCAGCAGCCTCTGCACAATCCTCGACACATACTTGCCATCCTCTCATATCTTCCCCGACCCCTCATTCACCGACGACGTCGTTTCCAGCACCTTCAACACTTTCTCCACTGTCGTCGTCGTGGAATTTGAGTCCCACAGGAACTTGGACAACAACTACACTGCTTCTAAATGGATAAATCTAACCTTCACTCTTTTCGGGGTCAACAAGGCAAGCAAGCAAGAGAGACTCGCTTCAATGTATGTCGGGTCCTCGCCGAATTCGATGGTTTGTCCAAGTCCTCTTTTATGGCTACGGTAATCATCGAGAAAAATTGGTCCCGTCCCTAATCAGACACCGTTCCGGCCCGGTCCAGCTTCGAGAAACACACCGATTTGATCGTCCTGAGAAAAACTTCACTGTGAATAAGGTTTTGCAATCTGGGTTCTCTTTTAAGCTTGTAAAAAAATGGGAAGAGAGAAGCGAGGATAGATGAGGGAGATAGAAGGAGGAAGTGAGGTGAGGACGAAGAGGACCTCATATTCAAAGTTTCTCATTTCTCGTTCGTTCGTAAATTTTTCATACTTTCTTATTCCTAGAATTTTTTTTAATTTTTTGAATAGAGGTAAGAGAAAAATACAATTGCAGGAAATTCAGAAACCACGACGAATGGAACTTCCTATGTTCAAAGATCCAAATCAAGTAATGGAGGATGAGACATAGCCCCACCATGAGGATCCACGAGACTTACCGCGATAAGAAGAGTAACCTTGCCACTACAGAGAACCACCACCATGGTAGCCACGACAATTACCGTAGCAGTGGAGAGTAGGACAGCTGCATGACAACTGGGCCACGAAGCAATGACATTTGTAGCCAATGGAGCAGTATCCCAATGAGCAGTTGTAAAGTAGCAAGCCCACGTGGCAGTGACCTAGCAAGCAGTTACAATACGGCCAGCCTAAGACCTGCAGGCCCAAGAAGCCGCGCGAGCCCAAGTCGCATCGAAATGAGGAAGGGCCCAGTGTCCACGCGCCCCTGCGGCCTAGCCCACGCTTGCAATCTAGCTCTTGACCAATATCCGACCCACACTCGCAGTCCAGCCCACTATTGTGGCACACCTAGCTGCCCAAATTGGTCCAAGATCGGTTCAACTGTCCC